GTGAGTTCAAGGCCAGCCTGGTCTCCATAGTGAATCTAGGATAGCTGGGGCTAAAGGGAGACCTGTCTCAAAAAGACCAAAAAAATTTTTTTTCTAATTAAAAAGTAAATAAATCGCTGGGCATGGTGGCGCACAGCTTTAATCCCATGATTTAGGAGGCAGAGGCCAGCAGATCTCTGTGAGTTTGAGGCCAGCCTGGTCTGCACAGTGAGTCCAAGGCCGGCTGGGGCTAAAAAAGACAAAAAAGGGTCTGGAGAGATGGCTCAGCAGTTAAGACCACTGACTGCTCTTGCAAAGGACCTGGGTTCGATTCCCAGCATCCACATGGCGGCTACGAACCGTCCTTGACGCCAGTTCCAGGGGAATCCGACACCCTCTTCTGGCCTCCACAGCACTGCACGCCACAGGTGCACTCACATACATGCAGGCAATATACTCATACACATAAAATAAAAATTTTTTAAAAGACAAAAAAAAAAAAAAAAAAAAAAAAGTAAATAGATCCGAATGGCACATGCCTGTAATCCCAGTAATTGGGAGATTGAGGAAGAAGTACCACGAGTTTGAGGCCAGTTTAGGCTTCAGTGTGAGACCATGTCTAAGCAAACAAACAAAAAAAAATCACTTAAACTGGGTGTGGCTACACACCCCTTTAATCCCAGCAGAGGCGGGTGATCTCTGTGAATTCAAGGCCATCCTGAGTCCTAGGCCAGCTGGGGCTACAAGGGGACCCTGTCTCCAGAAAAAAGAAAAAGAAAAACTCCCACAAAACAAAAAAACCGCTTAAATGTCCAAGGGGATCTAAGCACTGGAAATTTAACACACCAAAGTCCAAACTCCTAGGCATTTATAAAGGGCTTGCTCTCAGGATGCTTTTAGTCTACTTGCCTTTCAGGCCCCTCCATGTTTCACTCACTCCTAATTAGATGTAGGACAGACTACTGTTGAGTCCAAGAAGGAAAATTAGGCACCGCTTGTTGTGACAGTGCAAAAGCCAACAGAACCCAGGCTGAGGAGACACAGCTGCCAGCATGTCCTCACTGTGCAGAGTGAGCTGTTGGGGAAAGAGCACTAAACCAAGTTGGAGACTTAAGAGGCAAGTCTGATTTCTTTCTTGTGTGATATGTGTGATGTGTATGTGCAAGTGCAAATGCACGCCTATCTATGCTCATGTGGTGATTAGACAGAGATGTTCATGGCAGGTGTCTTCCCCAATCCCACTCCACTTTTAAAAAAATTTTTATTATTTTTATTTTATGTGTATGAGTATATTGCCTGCATGTATGTGAGTGCACCCATGTTGTGCAATGCCACAGAGGTCAGAAGAGGGCTTCAGATTGCCCTGGAACTGGAGTTAAGAACAGTTCGTAGCCGCTATGTGGGTGTTGGGAATTGAACCCGGGTCCTCTGCAAGAGCAGGCAGTGCTCTTAACCACTGAGCCATCTCTCCAGCCCCACTTTGTTATTTATATATATTTATTTGGGAGGGCACATGTACATGCCACAGCACATGTGCAAGTGGTCAAAGGACAACTTTTGGGAATTAGTTCTCTACTTCTACCACATGGGTTCCATAGATGGAACTCAGGTCATCAGCATGCAGCCAGCACTTTTACCCTGAGCTATCCTGCCAGTCTCCACCTTATTTTTTGAGAAGGGGGGCTAGGGATCCAAACTAAGGTCCCCATGTTTGTGCAGTAAGCACTTCACTGTGGGGCCATCTCCCCAGTCTTCGAGTCCAATCCCTTCCATCCATTTACTTGGTGTGTGACCTTCGGAGATGTAGCTCCCTTCCATAAATCCTGAGTAAAATGAGTCAGGTACCTGGACAACACATGCAAATTCACATGCTGCCAAACATGAGAACACAAGCATGCAAGAAGTGACCTCCACTTGATGCATGTCTGACTTCTACTTTTAAAGAAAAGTCTAAAATCAGATACTGAAATGCCTAGCCAGGAAAGGCAACACACACCAACAATCTCAGGACTTGGCAAGTACCACAGGCACCTGAAGCAGGTAATGGTGGTTAGGTGGTGGGTGAGGTGTTGTGGCACAGAAGGGGCAGGGAATGTGTGGAAAGGGAGAAGAGAGACAAGTTCATTCATTCCTAGTCTGTGAAAACCTGTGCTGGACAACCTGTGTGGGACACAACAGGTCTGAATTCCCATTAGAACATAAGCTCAAAGTGGGGAAAGAGCCTATTTTGTTCAATAAATATACTTTGGGAGGGGCTGGAGAGATGACTCAAGGGTTAAGAGAACTGGCTGCCCTTACAGAGGACCCAGGTTGAGTTTCTAGTACCCACATGGTGGCTAACAATGACCCTTGACTCTAGTTGCAGGGTCTCTGGCGCCCTCTTCTGGCCAGCACAGGGACCCATGCAGTGCACATACATGCAGGCAAAATACTCATACACATAAAATCTATGGGCTGGAGAGGTGAGTCAGCAGTTAAAAGTGCCAAGGGCTCTTCCAGAGGATCTAAATTCAGTTCCAGTATGCAGGCCAGGTGTCTTAAAACAACCAGTAATTCCAGTTCCCTCTTCTGGCCTCCAAGGAACCCCCCCCACCAGCATTCATTCACAGAGACACACACATACGTATAAATAAAATAAATAAATCTAAAAATGACATTTAAAAAAGATATTCAAGGCCAGGTGTGGTGGCGCACACCTTTAAACCCAGCACTCAGGAGGCAGAGGCAGGCGGATCTCTGTGAGTTCAAGGCCAGCCTGGTCTACATAGTGAGTTCCAGGACAGCTGGGGCTACAGTGAGACCCTGCCTCAAAAAGACGAAAAAAAAGATATTCAAACCCAGGGGTGGTGGCACATGCCTTCAACCCAGCACTTGGGAAGCAGAAGCAAGTGAATCTCTGTGAGTTCCAGGCCAGCCTAGTCAACATAGCGAGTTCCAGGCCAGCTGGGACTACAGGGAGACCCTGTCTCAAAAATATCAAAAAGAAAAAAATAATAAATTAAAATTTAAAAAGTAAAAAATATATTCAAGAAAACAAAAATAATGCTTAGGGTGCCTGTTAAGATGGCTCAACTGGTAAAGTGTTTACCTCTCAAGCCTGGGGAGAGCCTGGCAAACTGAGATTCAACCCTGAAAGCCACATAAAGGAGAGTACACACTCCATAAAATTGTCCTTTGGCCTCCACGCACCATGGCATGTGTACACATACAAAAATCATAAATATATTTAAAAAATTTTTTCCAAAAGGGCTGGAGAGATGGCTCAGTGGTTCAGCACTTGCTGCTCTTCCAGATTACCAGAGTTGAGTTCCCAGCACCCATTGATTCCAGCGAATACAAGTGGTATATACACTCACACAGACACACACACACACACACACACGAATAAAAACAAAAACTTTTTTTTTTTTTGGTCTTTTTGAGGCAGGCTCTCCCAGTAGTCCAGTTTGGAACTCACAATGTAGACAAGGTTGGCCTTTAACTCACAGAGATCCTGCCTCCGGAGTGCTTGTCCTCATCTTCCTCCTCTTCCTTCTCCTCTTCTTCTTTTTTTGGTCTTTTTGAGACAGGATCTCTCTGTATCCTGGCTGTCCTAGAACTCACTATGTAGACCAGGCTGGCCTTGAACTCACAGAGATCTACTTGGCTCTGCCTCCTAAGTGCTAGGATTAAAGGCGTGTGCCACTACGCCTGGCCCAGCAAATATTTTTTATTTGCTTTTTTTATGTGTATGAATGTTTTGTCTGCTTTTAAGTGCTCCATGACATGCAATGCCTGCAGAGGCCAGAAGAGGGTGTCAAATCCTCTGGAACAGGAGTTATGGATGGTTGTTAGCCACTGTGTGGTTGCTATGAACTGAACCCTGGTCCTCTACAAGAGCAGCCAGGGCTCTTAACCACTGAACCATCTCTCCAATCCCCATAATCTTTTTTTTTTAAAGACATTTATTTCATGAATGTTTTGCCTACATACATGTAAGTGCACTACATGAATGCAGTGTCCCCAGAGCTCTTAACCAGTGAACCATCTCTCCAGCCCCAAAATAAATCTAAAAAAAAAAAAAAAAAATACTCCCAAAAAACACTTAGGGAGCTATAGTGTATCGGTGAAGCACACATGTAATCCCAGAACTTGGAAGGCTGAGGCAAAAGGACCTCTGCAAATTCAAGGCAAGCCCAAGCTACATTTAAAAAATTCATTTTTTAAAAGATTAAAAAAAATTTTTTTGCATGTATGCATGTCTGCATGACTTTATATGCATCATGTGGGTACAGGAGTCCAAAGAGGCCAGAAAAGGGAGTCTAACTCCCCTGGAAATGGAGTTACATCGTTGTTAGTTGCCGTGTAGGTGCTGGGACTCTAACCAAGGTCCTCTGCAAGAGCAGCCAGTTCTCTTAACTCCTGAGCATCTCTACAGCCCAACACAAGTAATTTTTAAAAACACATTAAAAAATGCTCAGAGATTAGAACAGAGTTTGGCAAGGTGCTCAATACATATTTAATTGACTCCGCCTCTGTATTAAGCACTCCCCAAGACTCAGCCCACGCCTCCCGTTGCCTCGAGCCACATCTCGCACCCAGACCCCAGGAAGCCCTCTTGGATGCCCATCCTGCATCCTCTGAGCTTCGGCAGGTGTCCTTTTGAGAGGACTTGTTCCCCCAAGAGCCCCCGCGAGCTTCCCACCACCTAGGAATGAATAAATTACGCCCCTCGTCGCCCTTTCTAGGCATCCCCGGCCCCTCCTAAGCCCTAATTACGTCACCCTCCTCCGAAAACCCAATCGACACCTGCTGCGGGCACCCGAGGCCGAGAGTTCGAATCCTCACGCTCCCACGGGGCTCTCCGACGCCTCCTCGCAAAGCCATCACACCACCAGCGGGGGTCGTCCCCTCCGCCTGTATGCTTTCCAGAAACCTCCCCCACTCGACCTCCCCAGGACGCGATGTTACTTAGAAGAGGCATCCCGCCTCCTCTCTTCGCACCGGGCCCAGACACCGCCCACCGCCCCACCGGTCCTCACCGCTTCTGGGCCTCTAGTCCCCAAAGGCGAATCTGCCGGTCATACTGCGCCGCCTCCTCCTCGCTGATGCCGCCGCCGGCCTCCTCCTTCTCCACCATGGCGCCGGCTTTTACCTCAGCAGCTCTCGCTGCAGCTCTTGCTAACCGCCAGCAGCGTCCGGCACCGGGGCTGTGTCTGCGCATGCGCGGACAGCCGCGCTTGTGCAGTACCACCTCTGCGCAGCCCGAGGACCACGTGAACTCTAAGGCGCGCTGGCCTCTGCCAGTCACGTGAGGAAGCAGTCAATCAATCCTGGAGGGAAAAAAAAGTGGCGGGCATTTTGGGGACGTCTAAGTGGTGCTCCCTAAGGTAGTTCCAGTTTGCGTGTATTTAATGGAGCATCCACAGGAATCCCAGCAGCCACAGTGTGGTAAATAAAGAGAATATCTTGAATTAAAGGCTGGCTTGCATGGAGCTTACCATCTCCTGAGGATAAAATAAAGAAAATTAGACATCTGGGCTGGAGAGATGGCTCAGCATTGGCTGCTGTTGCAGTTCCTAGCTCCCACATGGTGACTAACATCTGTCCAGGGGATCCAACGCCCTCTTCTGGCCTCAAGGGCTTTGCACACATGGGTGCACTTACACACATGCAGGCAAAATACTCATACAATAAATAAATAAATAAATAAATAAATAAATAAATAAATAATAAATGAAAAGAAAAATAGGCTTGGCATGATGGTGCACATCTTTAATCCCAGCACTCAGGAGGCAGCTGGCAGGTTGATCACCGAGAGTTCAGTGTCAGCCTGGACTACAAACAAGTTCCCGCTAGCTGGGGCTACAGAGAGACTGTTTCAAACCTCTCCCACCTCCAAAAAAAAGACAAAAAATATACATCGTGGTGGGGAATGCAGGTGGGTGGGAATGGGGTTGGGGGGGGCTCTTCCCTAACTTCTGCAGATACCAAAATGCGCAACTGCTCCAATCTTTAGGTAAAATTAACTACTAAAATTGGGCTGTAATCACAGCTCTTGGAACAGGAAAATCAAAGTTCAAGATCAGCCTGAGTTTCATGAGATTCACTGGCGACAAACCCAAAGCCAGGCATGGAAGCTTTGTAATCCCAGCAACAGAAGGCTAAAACAGAAGAATTATTCCAAGTTTGAGGTCAGCCTGACCTACAAGGTGAGTTCCAGGCCAAGGCAATCTGGCCTAGAGTGAGATTCTATATCTAAACAAATTAACAGCAACTGAGAGATGGCTCAGGCAGTAACGTGTTTGCCCTCCTCTGCCCAGGCATGAGAGAGGACCTGAGTTTGATCCCATGTGAAAACAAAAATAAGGGTCTGGAGAGATGGCTTGGCTGTTAAGAATACTGACCGTTCTTGCAGAAGACCTGGGTTTGAATCCCAGCACCCACATGGCAGCTAACAGCCCTCTGTAACTCCAGATCCCAGGATCCAACTCCCTCTCTGTTCTCCAAGGGCATTGCATGTTGGGGAGATGACTCAGCCTCTATCACCATTGCTGCAGCTGTTGAGTACACAAGAAGTACCAGCAAGCAAGTAGAGGAAAGACCAGGATTCCTGTATACCCAGCAGGTTGTTGGGCTCATGGATAAGAAGCCCTCTAGATAAGGTGATTATATTGGTGCATATTCTGCTCTGTAAATAGCAAAGGACGGAGCCCATCACAAAGGCAGAAATGTTGAAAAATGTAAGCCAAGGCTGGAAAGATTTCTTAGCGGTTAGAAACCATAGTACACTTAAATACGTACAGGGAAGCACTCATATACATAAAAATAAACTTAAAAATGTAAAAAAGTAGCCAGGCATGGTGGCACATGCCTTTAATCCCAGCACTTGAGAGGCAGAGGTAGGTGGATATCTGGGAGTTCAAGGCCAGCCTGGACTACATAGCAAGTTCCGGGCCAGCTGGGGCTTACAGGAAGACCCTGTCTCAAAAAAAAATTTTTTTTAAATAAATAAACGGGCAGGAGAGATGGTTCAGCAGTTAAGAACACTGAATGTTCTTGCAGAAGACCCGGGTTCGAATGTCAGCACCCACATGGCAGCTAACAACTGTCCATAACTCCAGTTCTAGGGAATCCAATGACCTCTTCTGACCTCCACGGGCGTTGCATGTATGGGTGTACTTCCATACATGCAGGCAATATACACATACACATAAAATAAAAATAATAAGTATTTAAAAAATAAATAGCCAGAGCTGGGCATGGTGGCCCTTAATCCCAGCACTTGGGAGTCAGAAGCAGATGGCTCTCTCTGAGTCTTGAGTCCAGCCTGGTCTATTTATCAAGTTCCAGGCCAGCCAGCAGTGCATAGTGAGACTCTGTATGAAACAAACAAACAAGCTAGACAATGTTTCATCATATTTAGTGATTTAGAACAAGACGGCTTGGCAGAAAATTATGCATTTCTTTAGAGACATGGAAAAAAACTAAGCACTATAATAGTTATTAAAAAGAAATGGAAAAAATAAAAGGTTATAAATGTTTAAATAAATGGGCTGGAGAGATGGCTCAATGGTTAAGACCACTGTCTACTCTTGCAGAGGACCTGGGTTCAGTTCCCAGCACCCACATGGGAGCTAGCAACCTTCCTTTACTCCAGTTCCAGGAAAGCTGTTGCTTCTTCTGGCCTTTGCATGCATGGGAGGACACGGGTGCACTTAGAACCAGGCAAGCAAACCACTCATACACATAAAGTAAATTTTATTTATTTATTTTAATTTCTTTATTTTTATTATTTGTATGAGTGTCTCACCTGCATGGTTGTAAGTGTACCATGTGCGTGCAATTCCTATGGAGGCCAGAGGGGATGGTGGATTCCCTGGAATTGGAGTTAGAGATAGTTGTTAGCAAACATGTGGGTGTTGAGAACTGAATCTGGGTCCTCTGCAAGAGCAGCCACTGCTTTTAACCGCTGAGCCATCTTTCCAACCCCATAAAATAAATTAAAAATAAATAAGGATCCAAGTGTGGTAGTAGAAACCTATAATCCCATCACTTAGGAGGCAGAGGCAAGAGAATCAGAATTTCAAGGTCATCCTTACATGAAGCCTTGCCTCTAAATCAGTCAATCAATAAAACACTTAAAGATTTTTTGGTTGTTTTATGAGACAGACTCTCACTATGTAGCCCTGGCTGGCCTGAACCTCAGAGATCTGCTTGCCTTTGCCTCCTGAGTGCTAGGATTAAAGCCATGTGCTGCTGGGTGTGGTAGCACAGAGGCAGGTGGAGTTCTGTGAGTTCAAGGCCAGCCTGATCTACATAGTGAATTCCAAGGCAGCTGGTGTTACAGGGAAACCCTGCCTAAAAAAAAAAAAAAGCCACATGCTATCACGCTCAGCTAAAGATATTTCTTTAACAACATTTTTTTGTGTCTTTTTTTGAGACAGGGTCTCCTTGTAGCCACAGCTGGCCTGGAACTCCCTAGATAGACCAGGTTGGCCTCAAGTGCACAGAGATCTGCCTGCCTCTACCTCCTAAATGCTGGGATTAAAAGGCGTGCCCACCATACCCAGCTAAAACAAATTTTTTAATATTTATTTGAGTGGGTGTGTATGTGAATGGGAACACATGTACTGTGCCAATATTGTATATGTGGGGGCCAAAAAACAACTGTGGGAATTCATTTTCTCCTTGTACCATGTGGGTTCTAGGTTAGAAATATTTCTGAACACCAGCAAAGGAGAGTGCTGGGATTAACGGGTGTGCTACCATGCTGGCAAGCCATTTTTTTTGTGTGTATACTTTTATTTTTTATTGAATGTTGTGAATTTCATGTAATATATTTAAGCCATTTAAAATTTATTTTTATTTTATGTGTATGAGTGTTTTGTGTGTATGTATGTAAGTGCATCCATGTCATGCAATGCCGGAGGAGATCAGAAGAGTGTGTCAGAGCTCCTGGAACTGGAGTTAAGGAAAGTTGTTAGGTGCTATGTGGGTGCTAGGAGCTGAACCCAGGTTCCCTGCAAGAGCAGTCAGTGGTCTTAACCACTAAGCCATCTCTTCAGACCCTAAATTTTTTTTCCTAAAAGATTTTTTAGGTTAAGGCTGGGTGTGGTGGCACATTCCTTTAATCCTAGCACTCAGGAGGCAGAGGCAGGTAGATCTCTGTGAGTTCTAGGACAGCCTGGTCTACACAGCGAGTTCCAGGCCAGCTGAGAGTACAGGGAAACCCTGTCTCAAAAAAAGACCAAAAAAGAAAAAAACAAAAAAAAATTTTTAAGTTTATATCTATGTGTGTATCCCCAAGTGTATATATGTGCAGCACATGTGTACAGGTGCCCCAGCAGGCCAGTAGAGGGTGTTGCAATCCCTAGAACTGTAGTTGTGAGGAACCCTGTGGGTACTGGGAACTGAACCCATATTTTCTGGAAGAGCAGCCAGTGCTCTTAACTGCTGAGCCATCTCTCCAGCCACTGGCATGTCATTTTCAAGTGGAGAAATGTTTGGCAGCCAGTGTCTCCAATGCCAAAGCATTCTTTCCTCTTCCTCTGGCTCCTTCCCGCCCCCCCGCCCCCCCGCCTCGACAAGGTCTCATGTTGCCCAAGCTAGCCTCCAAGTAGCTATGTACCTGAAGATGACCTTGAACTCCTGCTTGCCCCACCCCACTTCTAAACTTCTGGGATGATTGCCTTCTACAGTTTTGGAACTCATTAACTGTTAATAAGGTAATAATTTATGATGAATGTTAATAAACCCCTCATCATTTCAAAAACAATTCAAGAGAACAATAATGTTCTCTTGAGATCTGTTGAGAACCAAAAACCACTTATAAATTTCCCTCAGTAATTTCTCAGAGATCCTCCAGGGGGAGACATCATCCCCTGGAGAAGCAGGAAGATGGCACTCTCAGCCTGGCCTGTATTAGCTAGCACCTTCTTTTCTTTTTTATTTTATTTCATTTTACATTATTTTTTATATTTATTTTATTTTTTATTTTGTTTTATTGACACAGGGTAAGGTGGTCACTGTGTAACCCCAACTGGCCAGGAACTCGACATATAGACCAGATTGTCCTTGAATTTAGAGATCCACCTGCCTCTGCCTAGGGATTACTGGGATTAAAGGCATACCCAGTCATGTCCAGCACCACACCTGTACTCTAGCATTTTAGCAATCTGGGTGGTACTAGAAAAGAAGGAAAGGGACAGAGGGATTGGGTTGGATGCAGCAGGCCCCACAGAATACAATTCCTCTCCCTCACCAATTTCTTTTCCTCTCCAGATGACTCTCTAGAAGTTGGTGCCTGACGTTTCTTCTTCACTCTGCAGACCATCTTCTCTATAAAATCTTTTCATTTCTGGTACAAAAAACCCCACCCTGGAGTCATCCCAAGAATTAGAAAGAAAAGACCCTTTTTGAGCTATGGATGGAGCTGCATCAGTAGAATGCCTGTCTAGTACACAAGAAGGCCTGGGTTTCATCCCCTGGGCTTGGTACTGTAAGCCTGTAACCCTAGCATCCTGGAGGTGACGGTGGAGGCAGGAGGGCCAGAAGTTCAAAGTCCTTAGCTATAGAGGAAGTTGAAGGCTAGACTGGGCTACATGTGACCCTGTCCAAAAGAAAAAAAAAAAAGCTGATCATGGTGATATGTACCTGGAGTCCTAGCTACTCTGGAGCTTGTGGTCAGAGGGTCACTTGATCCCAGGAGTTCCAGGTTGTCCCAGAAACAGAAAAATTCTATTTGGAAAGGGAAGGGGGAAGGAAAGAAGCAAAGAGAGGCAAACTTGGGGATCCAGACAAAGAAGTCTGTTGGCTCCACCCCAATAAATGGCAAAAGTCAGGTGGGGTTGAACACATCCGTACTCCCAGAACTTAGGAAGTAGAGGCATGAGGATCAGGAGTTCACAGTTATCCTCAGTTACATAGCAAGTTTAAGGCTAGCATGGGCAATGTGAAACCATGTCCTAGATTGATTTCTCTATTGCTGTGATAAAACACTGACCAAAAGCAACTTGGGGAGGGAAGGGTTTATTTTTATTCTTTTTTTCTAATTTTTTAAGTTGAATTTTTGTGTATTTCATATGGGATTTTTTTGTCTTTTTGAGACAGGGTCTTCCTGTAGCCCCAGCTGGCCTCGAACTCTCTATGTAGACCAGGATGACCTTTAACTCACAAAGAACCTCCTGCTTCTGCCTCTGGAGTGCTGGGATTAAAGACATGTGCCACCATGCCTGGCTTCAGCTTTCTTATTTATTTTTTTAATTTAATTTTTCTTTAAATTTTATATGTGTGTATTGCCTGCATGTAAGTGAACCCTTGTCATGCAATGCTCACGGAGGTCAGAAGAAGGTGTCGGATCCCTTGGAACTGGAGTTACAGACAGTTGTTAGCTGCCATGTGGCTGGGATTCAAACTTGGGTCTTCTGCAAGAACATTCAGTGTTCTTAACCGCTGAGCGGTCTCTCCAGCCCCATAATTCGCTTTTATCCCTTTTCTGTCTTCCCAGTGTAGATAACCTTTTCCCTCACCTA